TTCAGGTACTGAAAGGCCACAATTGGGTCAGCCTGAAGCTTCTCCTCTCCAGGCTGAGCAATCCCAACTCTCTCAGCCTTTCCTCCCAGCAGAGCTGCTCCATCCCTCTGATCCTCTCGGTGCCTCCTCTGGACCTGCTCCAGCAGCTCCACGTCCTTCCTGTGCTGGGCTCCAGGGCTGGAGCAGCTCTGCAGGTGGGGTCTCACCTGAGCAGGGCAGGGGGGCAGAATCACCTCCCTGGATTGTGCCTGCTGCAGAAATTAAGCAGCTTACAGAATTCTGGGATATTACACCCTTGCAATGCCTTTTCTGAGAAGCAGCTTTCAGAGAGAGGCCAGGATTTGAGCACAGCAAATGCTGGACAGTCCTAAAAAGAGAAAACCAGCCCAGTGCAGTTGTCAGGGCACCCAACCAGTTCTCAACAGCCTCAGATGAGCCTTGCAGACTGATCTCTCATGCAAGTGCCTGATGCAAAGCAAGTAAATATATTTAAAAAAAAATAAATCAAAAAGCGTGGAAGGAAACAAAGGAACAGACTATTTGACCAGACAGTTGGACAAGCACAGTCCCTTCTGACCTCCTTTGTATTCCAGGGAGCAATTCCTGAGCTGCATTCTGAGACAGAGGCAGAGTTGCCAGGCCAAGCATTCCGGCAATTACTCAGTGGAAATGGAAACAGCAACCCAGATGCCAAAGGTATGATGCAAATTTCATTGTCCCCATAAGAGTGGGAGTCCAGGATGGGTTTGGGGCTGTTTGCTTGGAATTTAAAATCACTTGTAGGTCCACAGAAACTAAACATTTAAGTCAGGGCACAAGATTTTTTTTTTAAAGGAAGCTCCTCCTCATTCCCTGGCTGATGCTTCCCTGAAGGGTGATTTTGAACCTTGAATGGGGAATTTGAGCTTATCATGCACAGAAACAGCTGAGAGGCAGGAAGCAGGTAGGACAAGGGGGAATGGCTTTAAACTGCCAGAGAACTGGGTTAGATTGGATATTAGGGGTAAATTCTTCCCTGTGAGGGTGGTGAGGCCCTGGCACAGGGTGCCCAGAGAAGCTGTGGCTGCCCCATCCCTGGAAGTGTCCAGGGCCAGGTTGGATGGGGCTTGGAGCAACCTGGGCTAGTGGAAGATGTCTCTGCCCATGGCAGGGGTGGAACTGGATGATCTTTGAGGTCCCTTCCAACCCAAACCATTCTATAATGTTATTCCATGAAATCTAAACAATCCTCTGCAGAGCCAAGAAACACACATGGGAGTTTTGCTGTTCATAAAGCACCAAACTGGAAAAACCGTAGGTTTTAAACCACTTAGAAAACAGCCAAACACCAAAAGGAAAAAACAATATTGTGCTCTCCTGATCTCTCAAAGGTCGATGGGTTACCAGAGAACCATTTGGAAGACGGAAAACAGAGGAAGGGGAGGTCAGACCTGGAAGGAGAATGGTGAAGTTTAGATCTGTACAGACACATCTTAAATATTTTAATTCTCAAATCAGTTTAGGGATGATCTTTATGGCAATAAAAACTTGTACTTTCTTGTAGTAATTGAAATTAAGCAGCACTTGCTGAACCAAGGACAGTTTCTTATCCATCTGTCATTACAAATACAGGTAATTCCATATGTTCAGCAGTATCTGAATACCTAATGCTACAGTTGGATAACACTTCCTTCAAAAGTTTCCCAGCCTGGTCTGCAATGGGAAAATAACCAAAAGCAAATAGCTTGTGCCCCAAGATCTGCATAATTGTAAATCTAACTGTAAAGAAATTTCCAGGCTAGAAAGCTGTTACAAATATCCATATTCTTGTTTCATCTAAGGTATAATGTGTTAGAACCTCGAGGGGAAAAGCACACTTTGATAATAGAAGGGTCTTTAAGATATAAAGCAATAAAATCCATGGATTTTGAAGCTGGACATGTTCAAGATGGAAATTACACTTTTCCCAGCAAACACGACTGACCAGCACAGCTCATGGAATAATGATGTGACTGGTGTACACGTGAATTTTTCCTCCACAATTTGATAACCCTGTTGACAAAAATATTATGAGTTTCCTCTTGCCTTTATTATCCTGATTCGTTCCAAACGGCCCATGAAAGGAAACATTAATCAATCGCCTTTGTGGTTTTCTTTAAGAACCTCTTAATGGATCGAGAACCTGGAAATCACAGATACGACTGCAATAAATGCCAGGGCTGCCGAGGCGCTGCTGAGCAGGGACGAGCGGGGAAATGCAGCGGGATGAGGCGGGTCGGTGTTCCTGGAGCGATGGACGGAGGCAGAAAAGCCGCGTCCCTGCAATGCGGGGCCGCTGCCACCGGAGGGAGCTGCCGCCCGCGGAACGGGAGGGACCGGCCGGGAATCCTCGTGGAATCCTGGAATGTCCCGAGCTGGATCATCCAGCCCAACTCCAGGCCCTGCACAGGACACCGCAACAATCCCACCCTGCCTCTGAGAGCGTTGTCCAAACCCTCCTGGAGCTCTGGCAGCCTTGGGGCTGTGCCCACTGCCCTGGGGAGCCTGGGCAGTGCCCGACCACCCTCCGGGGGAAGAACCTTTCCCTGAGATCCAGCCTGCCCCTGCCCTGGCACAGCTCCAGCCGTTCCCTCGGGTCCTGTGCTTGGTCACAGAGAGCAGAGATCAGCGCTCCCCTCCACTGCCCCTCGGGGGGAAGCTGCAGATCTCGACAAGGTCTGACCTCAGGCTCTTCTCCAGGCTGAATAAAACAAGTGACCTGAGCCGCTCCTCATATCCTTCCACTCCAGGCCCTTCACCATCCTCGTGTCCTCCTTTGGACGCTCTCTAAGAGCTTTACATCCTTCTTATATTGTGGCACCCAAGCTGCCCCCAGGACTCGAGGTGAGGCCACCCCAGGGCAGAGCAGAGCAGGACAATCCCCTCCCTCGCCCGGCCAGCAATGCTGGGCCTGATGCCCCCCAGGACACAGCAGCCTTTTGGGCTGCCAGGGCACTGCTGACTCAGGGTCAACTCACCATCAACAAGGACAGCTGCACTTGGAATATTGTGGCAGTTCTGGTCACTGCAACATAAGAAAGATATTGAGCCATTAGGGACCATCCAAAGGGGGGCAATAGAGATGGGGAAGGGCCTTGATTTGAAGCCGTGTGAGGACACTGAGGGCACGTGGTGTGTTCAGCTGGAGGAGGCTGAGGGGAGAGCTCACTGCAGTTCCAGCTTCCTCGGGAGGGGCAGAGGAGGGGCAGGCACTGAGCTCTGCTCTGGGGGGACCAGGGACAGGACCCCAGGGAACGGCCTGGAGCTGTGTCAGGGCAGGGTTAGGTTGGAGATTAGAAAAAGGTTCTTCCCCCAAAGGGTGGTTGGCACTGAACAGGTTCCCCAGGGCAGTGGGCACAGCACCAAGGCTGCCAGAGCTCCGGGAGTGTTTGGATGATCCTCTCAGGCACCTGCTGTGACTCTTGGGGATGGTTCTGTGCAGGGCCAGGAGCTGGACTCGATGATCCTTGTGGGTCCCTTCCAACTCGGCATATTCTGTGATTCTGTGATATTGTGAAGTCGTTATGAAGAGCACTGGCCCTAAAGTGGAGCCCTGTACAACCCCATAAGTGATTTTTTGCCAGCCTGATGTAACCCCTGTCCCCTGGGCACCCAAACCTGTGTGACCCCTGGCACAGTGCAGGAGGAAGAGGTGAAGGGCCTCTTTGAGATGCCAAGAACCAGGCACTGAAAAGCATCATATTGGAATTCATTCGCTGCAAGAATTATGTGGGAAGGAGACCTACTACTTGTGAAAGCTGAATGCTCCATCCCTAAACTTTTAGATAAAATTAGCATGAAGACTACCAGAGAAGCCTGATAAAAGCCTTTTTCAAAACCTATGTTGCCATCATAATCCAACACAAAACTGCTCACTGTTTTTTTTTCATTGCTTCTGATCCGTCAGGGGATAATGAAGTCTTTTGCTACTTGTTTGATGTATCTCATTGTCATGAAGTTATTTTTGTCTATTCAAATGCATTCATGTTTTTGTTATTTTTAGAAGGGATTGAGGTCAACACCATTTGCATCACTGAAGCAAAAAAGGGAAATTGTAAGGCTTTACTTTGAGTCATAAGGTAGGTTGAAAGTTTCTTTAAAAAACCCCAGCTAATAAAGTGTTTTTCATTACAAATGAAACAAGAGATTCTTAATTAAAGTCTGCCACTGCAATTCAAATAAACTATTGGGGCTGATTTTCCCAAAATGCTGCCAGGCTTTAACGCAGCAGAAAATAAACAGAAAAGTGAGTGAAAATGGAAACCACCTCCAACATCCTTTGGTATTTCTGTATCATTAGATGGTTGTAATTGGAAATAACAACACTGAGCATCTTTTCCTACGCCTTTTTGCGTGGTTTCCATACACATCTCGGGGAAAATTGATTCTAAATATGACTAGGTAACACTGTAGAGTTACTAACAGAGCACAAAGCAGGAAATAAGTGCTTTGTTAATTAAATATTGAGAGGAAATGTTTGACACAGAAACCCCACGTTTCCACAGACTCAGCCTCTACCTTGTGCTCTTCTGTCAAAGCCTCACAGGCAGCTTTGAACTCAAGAGTTCCTGAAGACTCTGAAGGAAAACAGCAGCTGAAAAAAAAAAAAAATCACCAGAGGAGAGGAGAAAGATTTTGACGGCAGAGTCAACATCTTGGGTCAAACCTAGACAACGAAGCGAAAGTATCAGCGGTTGGAAAATTAACATTAGGGGGCTTTAGTTTATGAGCGTGAGATAATATTAAGGAGAACGGACATCAAACCCTCGGCGCTGCTGGCGATTTTGCGGGCAGCATCTGCGACATTCGAGTGTCACTGAACGCCCTGAGACACGCGGGGTGCTCGGAGGGCTCCGACGAGCCGGGCGGGCACAGCCCCGGGCGGGCACGGCCCCGACGGCCCCGGGCGCGCCCCCGCCGCTCCCCGGCCCCGCCCGGGAACCCCCGGGCACAAAGTCCGCCCCGGGGCGGGCCCAGGTCGGCGGATCCGCCCGGGCAGCCCCGCCCGGCCCCGCACCTGCCCCCGGTGCCGCCCCGCCGGCGAGTCGGGGCCGATCCGCCTCGGGAGCTGCTGCCGGAGCCGGCGCCCGCCATGGGCGCGGGGCGCGGGGGGATGCGCTGCATCAAGATCCTGCTCTTCATCTTCAACCTGACCTTCTGGGTGAGCGCCGGGCCGGGCGGGGCCGGGCGGGGCCGGGGCACCTGCTGCGGGCGCTCCGGGACGCGGCCCCGGGCGGGGGGACCGGGGGGTGCCGGGGGAGGGGAGAGGGTGGGCGGCTCGGGCGGGGGTCCCTCCGAGGAGCTGAGCTGCCCGAAGCAGTGGCAGCGCTCAGCCGGCGCTCCCGGCTTCTGCTCCCATGGAGACACAGCTCTTCCTTGGGGAAGTAGCGATTCGGTGTGAGATGACACCGCTGGGAAAAGGCAACCTGTGTCTTAACTGATAGTTTAAAGTAGTGGCCATTTCCCCGGCAACCGGAGAGCTGCAGGAGGAGGCTGGGAGAGGTTCTCCCTTTCACAGCATCACGGTGGGTTTTACTCCTGTCATTTCAAACAGCGAGCCAGCAGCTGCTGCGTTTACGAGTTCATCCTAAGAGAAAGTCCTCGCATCATCCCCGAGAAATTTAGGGAATGCTGTGCCCGTTCTCCCCTCATTGCACCTTTTCAATAGTCTCACAGTTCCACAGCACAGCTGAATTCACGCTTTCTTTTCTCTTTCACTTTCCCTCGTTCGCTCTGTCCTCCCCTCAGCTTTCCAGTTTTTCACGCTGGAGAACAATCAGCAGTGTCATCTTCTTAAACGTCTTTTTCTTTCCTTCTGATTCACTGGGTTCTTTTAAAAAGAAGTCACAAAGTAATCCTGTTCAGCCTCTCTGGAGCGAGCAGTTTTGGGCTTTTGTCTCCTTTATGCTTGAAGCACAGTTAAAGCAAATGCTGTTCCCTCTTGGTGACAGCGCTGCGCGCCCCGGGGACACAGTGCTGCTGTGCTCGAGCTGGAGGGGCAGAGTGATGCTGCCCAGCTGCAGCTGCAAGGCAGCAGAAGGACAAAGCTCTGTGTTATTTGTTTCTCAAAAGCGACAACTACTGTGTTTTGTTGTCCTGCCTTTTTTGCTGGGATGGAAGAAACCATCTCCTCAGCTGGCTGGGGCATTCAGCCCAAACTGCCCGCCTAAAGCTGAGCCCCTGCCTGGCAGGAAGGAGGTCCCCATGCTGTGACAGGGTGGCAGGGGACCCTCAGCTCTGCTAGGACACGTCTGTGAGGAAAGCCATGATCCCACGCTCTCCAGCTGGGCACTCGCCCGCTTTCCTGGCTTGTGGAGATTGTGCCACACGGATCAAGTGCCAGGCAATGCAGGGCAGGTTAGAAATGCACCATGCCAGGCTGCCACGGCCATGGGAAGCAGCAGGTGTTTGGGAGCCTTGCCCAGGTTGTGCAGGAGCTACAGACCGAGGCTCTGGGCCTCCATCAGCACAGCAACAGGACACTGTGCCTGATCCTGTGGGATTCTGGAGCTGTCTGCCAGGATACCCACTGCTGCCTGGGAGCCTGATAATTTGTCTGGCCTGTGGTGGGGCTGAGACCACTGACTGTAGATTTTTCCCCTTAAACAACATGCTGTGACACTCCCTTGTGACCCGGTCTTGTTTGCATTAAAGGGAATTTTTCCTTCCGTTTGGCAGCATCCATCACTAGTTTCCAATATCTGTACTCCAAGATATTGTACGTGTAACAATCCTTTTACCTCCTGGTTCTGCTGGGGAGCTCCTGCCCGACTCCATTCCCTGTTGCAGTTCAGGCCAAGTTTTCACGACTAAATGACTTATCAGGTTTGAGAGCCACTACTAAGTTCAGAATCACCACTGCACTGAAGAGCTGAAACAAAGCAGCACGCTGCCCTGAAACAGGAATTTGTTGTTATCAGACGCTGGCAAGAGCTCCCTGAATTTTGTGGTGGGGGGGTTTCAGGAGAGCACAGGTGCCAGTGGCACCTCTCTGGTGCTCTCTGGCCGTGTGTCTGTGCAGTGCTGACTCTCTGTTTGTGTTGCAGCTGGCAGGACTGGCTGTCATTGCCTTCGGGCTGTGGCTGCGCTTCGGTGGGGCGATGGCAGACTTTGCTACAGACAAAAAGTCCCCGGAGTATTTCTTCCTGGGTAAGTTCCAGCGCGTGGGAGGACACAGCTGTCAGCCTTTGCTTCATCCTGGGGCAGGTGATGCACTGAATTCTATGAAGGTCAACAATTCCTGCCCTGAACTACCCAAAACTGGGCGTTCTGTGTGTGCCATGTGCGTGGTGGCTTTTGACTTCTCTCTGCCTGGCATCCACTTCCTTAGTCCAAACTAATCTCTTCTCTTGGATTTGATCCAGTCCTCACGTATCCTAAGTGAATTGTGCTAATACTCTCAGAATAGAAGGTGAGACAGGTCAGAGACTCGTGGGGTTCACCAATATATCCTTCCTTCTGTGCAGCTGCCAGCCAAGAAAACAAGTGTCACTTCAGAATGTTCCCAGTGCCAGTGCAGCAGTTAAATTTTGCTCCCCAGTTCTCCCTGTGTCTCACTGGTCAGCACTGGTGTTACTTCATTCACATAGGCCCCAGTGTGACTGAAGTATCAGAGCAAATCCTTCCACTAATGAAAAGTCAAACTAAACTACCTGGTGTTCAGCCATCTCAGGAGGTGTTTGTCCAAACCAGGCAGGAATCAACTAGTTCCTCAAGTCCACAGATCTGGTATTAGTCACTTCTAATTTTAGCATTTAAGATAATTTTTCTCTCCCTAGGATTTCCAGGCGGGTTTTCTGGAAATGCCACCTGTGTTATGTATCTATAGACACCCTTAAATAGCAGCTGTCTGGGACTGCCAGCAACTGCATTTCTCTGCCACTGGCAACTGTAACACGTCCTTACAGCAGAAAAGTCAGGGTTTTTTTCTGTTTAATTCATCACCCCTGGAGACTGACTCAGTAAAATCCAGTTGGTACAAACATTTTTGCCATCTCCAAATGCCAGGTGTGAGTGAATTCCCAGCCCTGCCGTGTCCATCGAGCCACTCTGACAGGGTGGAAGGACTGGGAGTTGGCCCGAGGTGTCCTGCAGTCAGTCACCCATCACTGCAACATTGTGCAGTTACTTTAAATACCCCCATTCTTTTAGTGGAGGCCTTGACTCAGATCCACCACAGTCCCAACCCAAGCCTCTCTAACATATGCAGCCAGGCTGGAGACACAGAGCTGGCACTGTGGGAATAGATGGGGAGAATGTGATGTCCAGCAAAGTTTCCATGTGATTTTGTGAGGCTGAATAAAACCATTCAGACAAAAATGTTGTTTGGGACCTGAGGGTTATTGTAAAATACCCTGTAGCATCTCCACTGACACAGAGAGGCAGGAAATATGATTTAGTTTTTCTCTTACATCTGAGCTGCTATGACAGCAGCATATTAGATCACCAACTTCATTTCCAGATCCAGTTTATACCTGCTGAACTTCCTGTGCTGTGTGCTGGAATGGTTCCCTGCCTCATCCACTTATGTTTGTCCCAGGAGAGCAAACAAGACAGAAAGATGTTCTGACCTTCAGAATCAAGTGCTGTTGGTTTGTTGGAAGCCAGAAATTAATACATCCTGTGCTGTGAATAAGCACCACAGTGCAGACTGTAACACACTGTGTAAACAAGATATTCTCTGGTGCATGTGCATTCAAATCTGCTTCTGTCCTAAATAGGAATTACAAAAGTTGTTCAAAGCTGTTAATTTTGGGAAGTCCTGGGGAACCTTCTTGTAAAAGTTTCATCACAGACCATGACACTGAACTATTGGGCTGCCACATGTATTTATAGAGCTGTCTGCTGAAATATGTAACTGCAAGCAGGGGAAGCCCTGAGGAACAGGGCACAGAGATGTTGAGAATTCTTTTAAACTTGCACTTTGGACTGAATTCTAAAGCGAAGGGTTTGCCCTTTTTTGTAATAGGCACTGGACAGAGCAGTCCTGTGAAAGAAAACCAGAGTTTTTTGCTGCCTTCCCTCATTACAAATCATGTTAAATGCTGCTGTGACTTCTGAGCATCTGATGGGGCAGCTGTGCTGGGGCTGGGAACAGTCTGGGACTAAGTGGTAAAAGAACAGTGATAAGTTCAGTTACAGTGGGTTTTGCAGCAGACAAAGCTGCACTTGATGGTCCTGCTGAAGAGCTTTGCCTCTCTAGATTTCAGCTTGGAGTCCCCCTTGCCAGTTGTGTGTTGGGCCTTTCTCAGAGTCTGTGGGGCTGTTGTTTGTTGGGCTGTTTGCTCTGTGACATGCATCCTGGCTGGCAGCCAGGGCTCTGCATAGGAATTCTTAGGATGGAACACTGCAGCACGCAGGGAGCAGCTGCCCTGAGGGCTGGAAGAGAAAGCCCTCTTAAGCAGTATGACTTAAAATATAAGTATATAGCTAAATATCTAAGAGTAATTTCTTTGTCTCTGTTCCCCTGACTGCTTCTCTGGCTGCCTTGTGATAACCCAAGCCCCTGAGATCACATCAGCTTTGTGCCAGTGCTTGGAACAACAGTGCAGGTGCATTCAGAGTTTGCTTTGTGGACTGAAACACTGTCCAGAATCACCATCTTCTGGAAAACATTTAATTTTCTTTCTTCTAAAGAGCAGCATATTCTGCTCTCTCTGTACCTGGATTGAGCTGCCAGCCCAATCTAACCAGCTTCTCTCTTGTGCTTCCTTGTGATGTTTTTTTTCCTGGATCTGAAATGTTGTTTTAGTTTAAAATAATTGATAATTCTATCCTTGCATTTTCCATTAGGCCAGAATGAGTCTCCTTAAATAGCCTTGCTCTTTACCAGCAGTCCAGCTGCCTTTTCTGCCCCTGGAATAGTTCGGGCCATGACTTGGCAACGAGGCCTGTTCATCTTTTCCAGCCACTGAGATGTTTTTGTTGGTTGGAGAACAGCTTCCAGGCAGCAGTGCTGAGGGCAAGCACATATGTGTTCTTAGTTTTCTGTTGCTTGTGGTTTTGTGTTTGGTGATCCATATTCCCCACTGCAGCCTGCAGTTAAAATCCTACAACAGAGAGGGCTGGAGCTGGAACTCTTTGACCCACGCAGTCTCCATCCACTTTACCAGATGTATCTTACAGACTCCTAAAATTGGACATCCACTGCCTGCAGCTCCCCAGCTTTTGGAGTTTCTGCTACAGTGGGACAATATTTTTATGTTGCTCCATCTCGTGGTACAGTTTTTGTGCCTGTGCTTCAAGTGGTGAGGCAAAACTGGAGCTTCCTTGTTTGACTGCCTTTCAGCTCTGGTACAGGTCACTCCTCTTGTAGCTGCACTGGAGAGAAAAAAGAATGAAAGGAAAAAGATAATTTCAGCAAAGGCCCATAGCTGGCAGTTACCTCTTTTATCTGAGTTGTCTGTGACACTGCACTGATCAGATGGAGAAAAGATCTGTAGAATAAAGGGAATTCCTTGGATTGCTCAACCTTCTTGAGACTCCTGTGCCAAGACTCTGGCAAGTGTTTTACTGGGCAGGAAAGTCTGCAGCAATCAGAAGGAAACAGAGATGCTTCTGTGAACCCAAGGTGTCAGCATTGCTGTCCCACAGTTGGTCCTTAACTAATTCCTTGTAGTGGTACTGTTCTTAATTTTAAAAATACCTAAGGCACAGCAGTACAGACCAAGTGCTGCTGAGGACAAGTGGAGAATTTGTGAAGTAAAAACTGACACAGGGACTTTTTAAGGGTCTGTTCCAGGCCCCTTTTGTCCCCTCTCTGCTTTTGGTGGATGAAGGGCAAAGTCTGCTTTGGTTCCTTGGGCGACAGGAAGGACAAACTCTTTGTATCCCTAATAAATGAAGTGCAGAGGATCCCATCACTGCCAGCAGCAATAAAAATGAAGTGTATGTACTCAACAAGCCCCATCAGGAATGGTAACAAAACCTGATGAATGTGAATGAATCAGTCTGGGAGACTCTTTCTCAGCCCTGAAACTCTGCTTTTCCTACACAGCCAGAGCTCACAGCCCTTGTGCTGTGCTGTGTTCTCTGTTTCAGTTCCATGATCCAGTCTGTGGTCCAGGCACTCATCAGGGCCAAACCAGTTGTGGACAAAAGTTTCAGGGTGGCTGTGGCTTTTTCTTGGGGTCTGTGAGAGCACTGAGTGATCCTTCTGGCTTTGAAAGGTACAGTTAGATGGCACATGCCTTAGGATATGAAGTCATGTCTGGAGTTGAAGGATATTAGTAGTTTTTCTCCATAGTAGTGGATGCCCATACAAACAGGAGTTGGCCAGCAGTTAAATCCATGTAAACTGCAGTTCTCTGCTCCTGTGCCTCACTTTGTTCTAGTTCTATTCATGTATTTTGGACTCAAGCACTGTATCCTTAGTCAACAGTATTTTTTCTCCTAAATCCATGACCTCTCAAACTCCCTCAGCCTTTAAAATGAGGGCTGTTGGCAAAGCAGCCTCTGTAAAAGGTGCAATACCACAAGGAGAGCATCAAATGGTGTATTGGAGAGCCTTTTAGTCTGTACTTAAGACTTCAGCCATGAATTTGTCTTTCTTCCTATCATCTTGTGTTCTTCTGCTGTTCAGGAAGAGTGGTTTAGAAAAGGCTGATAGTGGCCCTGAGTGGAAAACGAAAGCTGCTGCACTGGAAATTGGCTTAAAAAATATGACAGCACCACTACCACCCCCTGAGAAAACCTCCCTCAAAACGAAAGTTGCTCTGAAGTCTCTGTGCTGGGTCATAAAACCTCACAGCAGTTCCGAAGAGTCAGTATTCCCCCTGGCAAAATAAAAACAAGAATAAAGGCAATTCTGACCAGACAAGCCAATTTAGCCTAATGGAACAATCCATCCATCTGCCTCGGGTGGTTTTATATTTGCAATGATGTTCAGGAGGCTGTTTTTTTAATTAATCACTTAAGCATGATAATGCACTTTTTGCTTTTTGCCTATTAAATTGTGCTCCTGGGTGACTTCTGCCACCCTCCTCTCTCTGCTGTAACTATCTAAAGCCAGTTCCACCCTGCAGCAGCAGTTGAACTCACAGTTACACCATTTCCTTCTCTGGCACACCCTCTTCTCCTCCCTTGACAGTGGCTGCCCCATCCCTGGAAGTGTCCAAGGCCAGGTTGGACAGGTTTTGGAACAACCTGGT